TATATATATGGTTTATAATAGCCATGAAAACTGAGAACCTTTAATCAGTTATTAAAACTTCCGTTAAAGATTATTGTTCATGTTTTTGCAATCATCTATGGTGCAAATAAATAATATGAGGTTCGTTGCTGCACGTTCTATTAAATGTTAGTATGGCATGGATTAAATGTTAGTCATAAATGTACAACCTAAACTGTAAATATCTGATGATGAATTCAATAAGAAACAACACATATAATATTAATTGTGAAGTTAGGTTTTGAAAAACAAATGTAATGAGAAATATTTTATATTTAGTTATCAAAAGCTACGATATAGTTAATTTTATTGTTTTTGTTGGGATGAGGAGGAGTAAATACCACAATAATGAAACGAGAAAGAAAGTATAAGCGACGGAAAAATAAATGACATTAGGATTTAACGTGGAAAAATCTAAAATAGGAAAAAAATTATAGAGATACGTCACACCAAAAAATCCACTATAAAAATGATGAGAAATAAGTTTAGATCTCTCATCTCTTGCTCTTTCCTTGCTTCTCTTCTCACATGCACAGCTCTCCTTGTCTCACAATATAGAAATATAAGAGAAAATAAAGTAAAAAACTTCAAATGACGCAACCCTTCAGAAAAACGAGATAGAAAACTGTCTAGTTCATCTCACAGCATTGTGACACCAGTTTGGAGAGTTGTGGCCCTCAAACCTCTATCTTGATATGTTGAGCCGCTCAAGCTCACAGCAATATGACATTCCACAGTGCTGCAGCGCCATATCTTCACAGCTGTGGTGCTATGTTCTCTGTCGTTTAGCGTTGAGCACTCGAGAACACATCGCCGAGGCATTGTACAGGAAAAAACACCACAAACTTTTAGGTCAGAGGCAACAAACTAATCATATTGATCAATACAATTAGATTCCACACATAACAATTTTGTGACTGATAAAATGAGTGAAAAATGGCGTTTTGATAGTCTCAACATGCTACTATACTTTCTAAACAAGCTGGTCAAGAGCTAATAAGTCAAGTTAGAGCTTGCTCAACTTTGACTCATTAGTTCATTGAGTTTGATTCATGAGTCATTTATTGAGCCCAACCTAAATTTGTTCATGAGTAAGTTTAACTCACTTGCACCCCTATGAGAAACACGGACAAGCCAACATCGCCAAACAAATGAGCCATTTTCCCCCCTCCAAGAACAATTGAAAATCCTGAAGTAAAATCTAGTTAATTTAATTTTGGCTATCTTCACAAACTAATTTTGTTATCATTACAAATTTTAATTTACAGTTGTTATCTACAAATTTGTTGAAATACAAGTCATATGTTCTTATTAATTAATTTTAGAAAATTTTGGGCTAAATATTCAACAGATTTGAGAGTTAAATTTTATATTGATCAGATTTATTTCCTAGCATTATATAAAGTTGTGTTACACATAATTCATAGTGAGAGAAGCTAGGTTTCATTTGAGATAATTTTTTTATTACTTTCTACACAATAACTTTTTAGTACAAAAATTTTTTAAGTAGAAAAAATTAGTGACAAAAATTGTCCCAAATAGGAGTAATTATTTTGTCCGGACACCGAATGCATCCAAAGATCAATAACAAAATGCCACGTTACTAAAGTGCTCGGTACCATACTTGGTACAACACTCGGTACCGCGCTCGGTACACTCGGTATGCTCGGTATTCTCTGGATGTAATAATTTTTCCCCAAATAAAGCCTCTATCAATGGCAATAAGAAAAACCATGCTCCAATCATCACACTACTCAACAACCCACTTAAGAAAGAATTATTAAAGTAATAATAATTTGACTCACATGTTCTAAATAGATACACTGTTCTAGTTGACTTTTAAGCTATAGTCAACACATTATTTCAAAAGAACAACTTGATTTTGATTTTTAGTGGTGCTTCAGGACTTTTAGTCACATATTTTGAAGAAATGTTATAAATTTTCTTTAGAAGTGCAGTTAATGGTTCTTTTTTTCAGTTTTTAACAAATAAGATTGTTTGGAATGACTTTCTAATTATTTCTTAAAGAAGCTTTATAGTATAAAGTTTTGCATTATAAAGTTATTTTAAGTTGTAAGAAAGAGGTTCCAAACGAAGTCTAAGGCTTTATTTGGGGCGTCTTTCTTATTATTTTTTAAAATAATTAAAAAAATTTAATTTTTTAATAAAAAGTTTTTAAAAAAATAGTAAAAATATTGTCACAAACAAAGCCTACGATTTTATCAGGAGAAATTATCTGTGTAGAGCCTGAACTAGAATAACCGTTGTACACATAATATATAAAATTTGATATATATTATATACAAATATATGCACTCACATATTCGAACAATTCTGCACAAAATAATTTCTCTATTCAATCAGTATAAGAAACTTTAAACCGATAACTTATTACAGGTGTAACATTAGATATGTAGGGAGCCACAATCGGGACGTTGGGCCTGTCCACTCTGGCCCAGCCCGGCATAATAGTATAAGACTATTGAGAATCGCTGCATGTTTTTCAGAAAAATATTGCATTGTTTTGTCTTATATGTTAATGGCGTAGTAACATATTTTTTCCTTTTTATAGATGTTTATAAAGATGTGTTTTAATTTTTTATTCTAAAATTATGTTATTAAAATCACCAATTAAAAAAATTAAATATTTTTATAATGATAAATAGGCAAGTCAGAATATTTTATTATTGATATATCTCCAAAAAAATAAAAAAAATTTAGTATGAATCTTAAGGTAATATTTGAATTAAAAGTTTTAGAATTAAATACAAGATTTTCTAAACTTCAATTTAGCAAAATTATAGTTGAACTAAAATTCTAGATAGGACGAACTCATTGATACTACAAGTGATCTAATATGAGACCAAATGAACATAAAGCAAGCATTTGAAACATATTTGAAAACTTTAGGATTTAATTGAATGATGAGACAGTCTTCATATGGTGAAAGAGGACGCCAATGCTTATGATATTTATAGTGGTAGTAAGTGAGAGCTGAAACTTTATTTTGCTGAGTTTAATTGTAAGAAAGCCAATCTGTGTTTAATTAGGCTTAATTAATTATAAAGTAGTTTAGTTGGTGGCTTTCAGCTGAGTTTGGTTTGACGCTTGGCGAAACTTAGCAGAAGAGAGCGAGAGGACGAAGAGGTGTCTGTTATATATGCTAATTTCGTGTTAGCTCACCATCCTAAAACTTGAAAAAAAAACTTGGAAGAGGATATACAAAGTTGTCATCTTGGAATTTGAGGGTGGATGGGTTGATAGTTTTAGTTCTTATGATAAGCTAGCACCTCATATTTCATTAGACTTTTTCTCTCTGTTTTTTTTTTTTTTTCATTGAAAGATGAAAGTTTTGGTTTGAAGTAATTGTGAGGACTTGAAAATGATAACGAATTTGAATTTAAATCAATTTTCTCATACTTAATTGATTGATATGTGTTGCGTCCTGGAATATTCGCGGCGGTAGAGAAATATATAGTTTAACGTCTTAGCGTTGTACGAAGATCCAGCACACAATCAGATAAGTGAGAGGATGTAGCATTCATAAGTGACATTTGTGATGACGTATCAATATGAATCGTGAGGCAATATTAAAATTGAAATTTTTTGGAATTAAATTCAAAATCACATGAACTTCAATTTCAACAAATTTATAGTTGAATCGATTGTCTCAATGAGAAGAGCCCAACGGTATCAAAGGATGTCCAATCTGAGCCCAAATGAATTTAAATCAAATACTTGAAGTATGATAAAAAAACTTCAATTAATAATTGGATGACCAAATGAGCTCCAAATTGGTCATGCTTAAAGTCGAATCGAGCGGCTTGACGAGATTAAGCCACTGAGCCCTATATCACTTAATGTTGACATTATCAAGGAACTTAATTGTTGACTAAATGCTTCATAATCAAGAGAATTAATATAGGCGGTAAAATGGAGTGTTTTAGATTGTTGTTCATCTCAAAAAGATTATAAATAAAACCTCATTCTCAACATGAAGGGGGAGGAAGAATAGAGATAATTAGAAAGATGTCTCTTGCATTTTTTAGTCATCATTACCGACGACCATCCCTAACTATTGCGGCTAACAATCACCATCACCCCTGACTATCATCATCGGAAATTGTCACCATCTCTAGAATATTGACAAGATTTAACCTTGCTATTGTGTATAGTTATCTGCCTGTGAACACCAACTTTTTATACTTCTTATTGGAGAAATTATGCACTATTGTTGAGTGTTACCTATCCCTCTGTGGACAATTGATTTATGAAATCTCCCTCAAAGAAAATCAGGTATCTATTTAACCCACATCTTCTTCAACAGTAAAGAAAAAATTTGATTCTTGCATCAATTAATATATAGTGAATTTTTCAACTAGCTAGGCTCTGTGATTTTTTTCCTTTCCAAAAAAAAAAAAAAAAAAAGTCTATTGGAACACCTTAAAATTGTCTGAATTCAAAACTAATTTTTCTTAGGCACACTATAAGAAAATGAACTATTCCGGGCCATTTTCTCTGCAAATTCATGCTCATAGAAAGTTAGGATGACTATCCTGTGATCAAAAGAAAAAATATATAATCATAATAATAATATTTCTTATATATGTGCTTTATTGATTTTCATGAAAATATGAGAATGAGTAGCATTGGTCACTAGCTGATAAAAGGATAAAAATGAATAATAAATACGCAAAAGATGCAAAATATTTTTCCGAATCGGGTCGGGTTCGGGTCCAGAAACCTGACCCGTTTTTAAAAACGGGTCGGGTTCGGGTTGACCCGAACAGTGCCGGGTCAGTTTCGGGTTCGACCCGAACCCGACCCGTTGACCCGAATTGACATCCCTACTCGTATGCCCTAATAGGATATCATCTAACCTTAAACAATTTTTTTTCTCTTTTCTTATATAGCTTATAGAATTTAGAAGATGGTAGTTCTTTATTAAATAAATAAATAAAAACTCAAAAAGAAAGAAATAATAGAGTCACATCAAATATATTAAAGGGAAGAGCCAAATAGAAGTAGAGAAATAATTATTTGGAATGCACAGCAGAGAGATCCCAAATGAGCATAAGCAACAACGATCCAATGATCAGCAACAAAAGACAACAAACATCAAAGTTCAAATGACAATAACAAACATAACACACACATCAAGGATGGTGGGGCTCTTCCGGCTGCTGGTGCGGTATCTCCGGAACCTCCGGCTTGGGCAGTTCATGAGGTATCTCCGGCAACGGCGGCAACTCTGGCTTGGGGAGCTCATGAGGGATCTCTGGCAAAGGTGGCAACTCTGGCTTGGGAAGCTCATGAGGGATTTCCGGCAAGTGCGGCAGTTCTGGCTTGGGCAAGTCATGTGGAATCTCCGGCAACGGAGGCAACTCCGGTTTGGGTAACTCGTGAGGAATTTCTGGCAGCGGAGGCACCCCCGGTTTTGGTAGCTCGTGCGGAATCTCCGGCAATGGAGGCAACTCCGGTTTGGGTAACTCGTGAGGAATTTCCGGCAGCGGAGGCAACTCTAGCTTTGGGAATTCAGGTAAAGGAGGCAATTCTAGCTTTGGCAGCGATGGCTGCTCTTCCTTCGGAGTACTTTCTTCTAACAGAACTCGAGCGGCATTGCAAGCAGAGTTGCCTAAGAACATGAGCGCAAGAAAAAGAGAGCAGATGATCATCAAAGATTTAGAGGCCATTTTGAGAGAAGATTGGAGAGCCTGGTTATGATGGAAGAAGGAGGCCAATGCATGTGGTATTTATAGAGGAATTAGCGAGAGATAGCTGAAACTACTTGATTTGCCGACTTTGTATGAAGCTTATCTTTCTTTAATTAGTGTTAATAAATTATGAGTTAGTTTAGTTGGTGGCTTTCTTCTAATAAGTTGTTTGTGTTTGGTTTGACGCTCGGCGAAGCTGAGCAGGCACAGAGAGAGCGAGAAGATGAAGAGGTGTCTGTTATGTTTGCTAATTTTGTACGTGTTAGCTCACCTTCCTATCAATATTTATATCAGAAAAAAAACTTGGAATGGATAAACAAATGCGCTCATTTTGGAATCAGTTGGGAGATCAATGTAGCTGGTGAGCGAGTTAGGTGGATTTCTTTCGTTATTATCTACAACTCATCAAAATGTAATTAGGCTTCTCTTCTCTCACTACTAAAAAATAGTATTTTTTGCAGCACTTGTTAGGAGCGTATTTAAAACCGCCGCCAAATTTTGAGCTATGAAAGCCTTTTTTTTGTAGAGATCTCTCTTTTAAGTGTGAAATTATTTTGTGCGGACACGGTCGCAGTACGAAGATGAATCAGAACGTGTCATGTCACCCGTTTGTTGTGTTCCCGGCTATATATCACTTGTTCCGGGTGATATGGTGCATTCTGATTCGCTCCCGAACAGTCTGGTGAAATTGAATTATTTTCATTTGTTGAGAATAAAAAAACTTTTTGGAGGAGGTAATGAGGGCCTCAGTGATGAATTGGTATTTTTTTTTCCTTAAATATTTTACTATATGCGAGGTAGGAATTGCCAATGAAAAAAATAATAATAAACATCAACATGTGAATCCATATATCTAAGAATTACATCACAATCTAACAACTATAAGGAATTTATGAAATAAACTAAATTAATGTTACTTTCAATTCCTTCAAAACCAAACAGAGACCGAGACGAAATCACAAAGTCTCAATGATTTTTTAGGAAAAAAAATTTAAAATCAAACACTTTTTTTTAAACTTCATTGATACAATAAAAATTTAGTAAGTTTAGACTAATTTTTTGGGTAAATTATAATTAGATCAAATAAAGCAAATTTTGAGAATTATCATAATTTAATACATCATAATAAAGATATTATATATATTGAGAAAAACATATTCAATAAAATTTTCAGTACTACGATGAATACTAAATAAAAATCTAAAGATAATTTGAAGGAAAATTTGGAGTTCAAAGAGTATCGTAAAAGATAATAACTAAAACAATTAGACTATATCGAAGGGAAGTTGGTCATTTATAATTTTGTGTGAAATTTGAATGTGTCGATCTATCGAGATGTATTGATACCTTAGACCTCAATTTTATCGATCAAGCTCATTGTGGGGTTGCAGGGGATCCTTTCCATGCATAGATTCGGGTGCGAAGATGGGTACAACTGTACAACGTTGCAACACGATGTGCCCAAGCGCTCTGACGCTGTATAGTTTGCCTAGAGGCAAAAAGAGAGTAGAGCACTACAATGCTCCAGACCTTGGCGTTGTGATGCTATCAGGCAAATTGGAGACAAATAGTGGATCGCCGTACGTAACACTCCAAACTTGGAGCCAAGGCATTATGAGGCCAGCTAGCATTTTTCTAACTCATTTTTCATGAAAGGCTACGTCATCCCTATGGGGTTTTAATGTATATCTTTATTAGTTCTATTGTGAGAATAGTACAAGAAAAAAGAGAGACAAGGAGAGAGAGAGAAGAGAGATTTGTATTTCTCTGAAAGCTTCATAGTGAATTTATTAGTGAGACGTGGCTTCATGGGTTTTTCCCAATTTTGATTTTTTTCAAATTAACGATGTATTTTCTCTTTCTTGTTTGTGTTCTCTAAAGTATTAAAGTTTTGTTGTGTCCTACAGTATTCGCGGCGGTAGAGAAAAATAAAGTTTAGTGTCTTAGTGTTGTACGAAAATCCAGCATGCAATCAAATAAAATAAAAGGTCTAGCATTTATGAGACACCAAGATTTTTACGTGGAAACCCCTAAAAGCGGGGGGGGGGGGAACCATGGGGCCCAGCCCAATTTGAATGAATCTACTATTATTTGCAGTCGAGTACAAATGAGGCCCTTCCTTAGGGGGAAGGTCTTGGCTTGATGTACATTATATGAAGTATATGGTGGGAATACAAAGAGTCATTGTTGACATGTTCATTTGGCCTGATGGACCATAGTCGATGGGCGACGTAAGTCGGAAGGACCGTAGTCGACGGGCGAAGGAGGTTGGGAGGACCATTGTTTGATGATGAGTTCAGAAGGAAGGCGTCATGTAGAAATCTGGCGACGAGTGGAGGTCCGACGTCTGGTAATGTCCGACGTTAGTCTGCGGCCGGGGAGAACTTCGGCGTTAGATGGTATTCAGGAAAAACTCCAGAGTCACTTGAAGATCGGAAAGAATTCCGGCGTCACTTGGAGATCGGGTGGAGTTTCAGTGTCACTTGGAAGTTAGGCGGAGCTCCGGCATCACTTGAAACTCAGGCGGAGCTCCGGCGTCACTTGAAAGTCGGATGGAGCTCCGACGTCACTTAGAAGTCAGATGGAACTCTTGCATCATTTGAAAGTTGGGCGGAACTCCGGTGTCACTTAAACATCGGGCAGAACTCCGACGGTGGTTGAGGAGGAGTTTCTTCAATTCGCTCCTCTTCTTCTCTTACATTCTTCTTCTTCTTGCTTGGGTCCTCTCTTAAGAGAAATGAGGGGCTTTATAGTTTTCTAAGAGTGGCATGACCCGTAAATAGGAGGAGGATCAAGGGCTAATGTGGGGTGATTTGGATGGACGACCGATATTGAATCCTTTGATTGTGGACCGTTCGTCAGACATTTGAAGGTCTTAATGATATCGGAATTTGGCGATCTTGGGCTCGTTGGATTCGTCTCGTCGAGCACTCGATTTGAATATAAGAAAGTCGTGTTTTAAAACCGTTTGGTGATCTAAATTTTGGTTTGAACCTTCCAATAGCGCTTCAGGTCTTCGATTCAGACCCATTTGGGCTCGGATTGAGTTTAAATTGGTGTCGTTGGGTTCGTATTTCCGAGACGATCAGTTCGTCTATAAGTTTGCTGAAATCGGAGTTCAGATGATCCCTGATTTAATTTTTGAAGTTTCCAACTTGATTTTTGCCTCGAGGTTTTTGTCCGATCAAGATAATTTTATGACGAGATATCAAGTCTAAATCAAAATACATTTTAATTTAGATCAGAAAAGAAATATCTGAGAGTTGATTGCAAATTTGAAGATGACAGATGAATATAATCAGATTTAATTACCTGCATTCACTCAATTGATGCAAAATTAATTAAAATGAAGAGTAAATGATTGATTTTTTTTTTTTTAATTGCTTGTTGTCAATTTCTTTTTTATAGTTGGATGAACTAATTTCAAAACAAATGACTTAAAATCAACCATTTTTAAATTTTATGGAAAATAATATACCAAAAATTTTATGGAAATTATCAAATTACAGCAAATTTTTTCTCCTAATATTATTTATTCAATATAATATCTGACTATTTATTTATCATATGAGAAAAGAGTTGGAAATTGATATTCAATATTATTGGATGTATCCCTTTCAAAGAAAATTATTTACTTTCTTTTTTAATGTCAATATCTAACTGCAATAGAAAACTTATGATCTCATTGCAGAATCGTAGGTTATAAAATAAAATTAAATGAATTTTTAAAGTATATTTTACTATAGTGCGACCAAAGAAGTTGATTTTCATTATGATTATCATTTAAATTTGAAAAGAATTTACTTTTAATTTTATTATTTAAATAACGAAAGAACTATTTCAATGAAAATATTGTTAAATCACCACCTTATATTCAGAGTAGAGCAATCAAGAAAGATATTCATCATCATAAAGATCATTTTAAAAAGTAATTATTAAAATTTATTATCTTTTCAATGAGATGATGATCATAATTTAAGCAAAGAATTAACTATGGGACATCCACACCTTCCATTATGAATTAAAATTACGATAATTTTTATGCATTTTTGAATTTCCCCCCTTGGGGGGTTTTAATATTTGTGTACAAAATTGTAGCGCGACAATGTTAGTTGGGGTCACTACAGTGTCAAACTCTTTGTTTGAATTTATAGAATATTCTCTTGGGAGCGTCGTGATGAGTGGAATATAGCGTTGTGATGCTAGGCTTATAAATATTCAGGTCCATTTTCAAAAATTAGTTTCCTTCCATTTTAGGCAGCTAACTATAGAGTGGGATGAAGAGAATTTACAGAGAAAAGTGGGATTTGGAAGTCGTAAAGCCAAATATGTATAGTATTAATAGGGCTGCAAGTGAACCAAACGTTCGACGAGCTACTCGTTGTTCAGTTCGATTAAAGCTCATTCGTGATCGTTTAATTAACTAAACAAACAAACTTGAACAATATTTTAAATACTCGATTCTTAAATAAACAAGCTTGAACACTAATGTGTTCGGCTCATTTATGTTCGCGAACAACATCATTTGAAGTTCGTGAACAAGCTCGATAAGAAATTCGATTCGTGTACGATAGTGAACTTGTGAATAAGCTTGATAAATATAATTCATATTTGATTATAGAATTAATAATATAAATAATATAAATAGAGCTCGACATTAAGTTCGCGAACATGCTTGATGTAATCATTTGTTAGGAAGCTCGATAAAGCTCATTTGTTTAAGTTAATGAATATCTAAAGTATAGCTCGTTTATAGCTCGTTCATGTTTGTTTGTTTAAAGCTCGATAAGCACTAATGAACGAACATGAGCTGAACATGAACCGAACATGAACACTCATTAATTTAAATGAACCAAATATGAACACAAACAGTAAATGAATCGAACAAACATGAAACCAACAACTTGAACAACATGATATTAAATGAACACAAACATGAACACTCACAACTCACTCGGCTCGATTCGTTGCAGCCCTACGTATTAAGATAGTTATCGTTATTGT